TACAAACCCTTTCTGCACAAAGATCATAGAGTTCTTGAAAATTGAATCGGGATTCAATTTTCAGCATAATGGATTCGCCGTCCTCATAATCAATGCCTATGTCAGAGTTTGTCACCCTTCCATTCCACCGAATAGTAAGATGAAACTTCTTGAATTTACCATATCTACAATTTACAATAAGTATCTATTAGCTTAAAGACAGTAAAATTAACCAAAATCATATTGTACAACTAATATTAAATCATACCATAACTAACGAAAATAAATTCAACTAACTAACAACAACATAATACGAAAATTAAATCATACTATAACTAACGAACATAAGTTCAACTAACTAACAACAACATAATACGAAAATTAAATCATACTATAACTAACGAACATAAGTTCAACTAACTAACAACAACATAATACGAAAATTAAATCATACTATAACTACTAAAAACATAATTAGACCATAATACGAAAAGTCTCAACATACCGAAAAATTTCTGTTCTGTGTATTATGCTCGATTTTGGCTGCTGAAATTTGAAGAAAGGGGAGTGGTTATGTTTTTACAAATGCTGGTGGTGTGCTATTTATAGGAAAATCTGCCTACTATTCACCGTTTTTGTCAAAAACGGTGAACACTATCACCGCGTTTGTCTCAGACGGTGAATAGGTGGTAGCTGCGACCTAATTTTGACCTACCAGGGGTGGGAAACGTGGGAAATAATCACCGCGTTAGTCAACAACGGTGAAGGCTTCACCGTTTTTGACCAAAACGGTGATGTGTTCACCGTTGTTAATTAACGCGGTGAAAACTTCACCGTTTTGGTTTGAAACGGTGAATACTTCACCGTTTTTGTTTAAAACGATGAAGTATTCACCGTGTTTGTCAAACGCGGTGATGATCTTCACCGCGTTTGTCTAAAACGGTGATGCTCAAACATGTGTACTTTGGGAAATTTTTTTATAACTCATGTATTTTGGGAATTTTTTTTAAGAACGTGTGTACTTTGGGATTTTTTCCGTCATTCTTAATAGATAGAACCATTCAAGAACAGTAGGTCATTTCCTCTGTTTTTAGGATCGGGCCGGAGGCTGAACCGGAAAGTAAGTGGTTTAGAGTTTAGTAGTTGATCGTTATAAAATCATTGATTAACGGTTGATATAACCGTTCAATGTTCATGACGTATAATATACAAGACTTGTATATTACACTAATTTAAGAATGGAGTTATCAATAACCATACAAAATTTCAATTCATATCAATCACAAAAATATATAATAAATCATTCAAACCATCACACAAAAGAAATCATAATTTTTTTAATTCAAGTTAAAATTATGGTGTCAGTTGGTAACTGACCAGGTAAAGTCGACAACAAGGTTGAAAAATAAAAAGAGGAAGCAAATATAAAATTAATAATTATGGTTTGATGGTCTTAGCTTACGTTAAAGTATTTTTATAAAAAACAATTTGTGGTTAAAATAGTGAAGAAATATAAATTTGAAGAAAGAAAGAAAAAATATAATACATATATGAAGAAAACAAAATGGGAACAAACACAAGAAGAGGGCAGTTAAGTGGCAGCACTTGAGACAAACAACAAGAGGGCAGTTATGGGTTTACATTAAAATATGAGGGACAAAAATGGAAGAAAAATGTCCAAAAACGTGGTAATGTGAAATACAATGGGGGGGGGGGGGTGGGTGCCGGTTTTCCCTTTCCCGCATCTGTGGGAATCAGACCAAAATACAAGGGTCCAATTACCATGCTCACTTGGACCAGCCAAACGTGGTAATTCAACCCGATTCCTTCATTGTGTGGGAATGTAACTCAATTACCACACTAGATTACTGCATCCAAATGACCCCTAAATTTGAATAATTTAGGATTTAGGAATTTAGGGTTAGGGTTCACAGTTTGGGATTTTGGGCTGAGATTCAAATTGAAGATTAATATGTTAGGGTAATGGATTAATTAGTTTTGATTTTGTGTTATATCATCATAGTAGACTAATGCTACTTATTAAAGTTCAAAATATGATGTATTATGACCACTCTTAGAGTTGAGTGCATTGAATGTGCCCAAAAAAGTGAGTGCACCGAAATAGCCACCTATATGGTGTTGCATGATAATTCGATACGAACATTTTGATAAAAATTAAGCAATTTCCGAGATACTTTAATTTAATAGTTAAAATAATTAGTTGATTACTTCAATTGATGGTTTGCATTTTTTGTCAATTTTTCACATTGAAGTTTAGTCACACTTCTCATATGTTGTTCAGATGATTCAAATACAAGCTAGGAATTTAAATGCAAACTAGAAATCCAAATACAAGCTAGAAATCCAAATACAAGCTAGGAATTCAAATACACACTACAAATTTAAAGAACGATAGGTATCATAATGGCTATGGTAGTCCTCATCACTATGACCATCAACGTTAGTAGCACTTCCTCCGTCATCATGATTAGTAGGGCTGGATTTTCGGTTATCTCGCTTATAACCGATAACCGAAATGCTGGTTATCGGTTAACCGTGAAACCAGACACTCTTACCACCAACCGCCCGACGGATCCCATCGGTTATCCGACAACCGACCGGTTGGTTACCGGTTAGTTGCTCGGTTAACCGAGATAACCGTACAAATTAGAAAATTTTGGCGATGGTTCGAGAAAAAAGAGAGGAGCAGAGGAGACTGAGTGGTTCGAGAGAAGAGAGAGAAGCAAAGACATTTTCTGAGTTCTTTCTTTCCTTGATGGCCACCTAAATGCAGCGGGGGACTATGGTTGGCGGCGGAGGAACAGTGGCGGGCGGCGGGGATTGTGGCTGGCGGCGAGTCGGGAAGATGGTCGGGAAGGAGATGGGGGAGCAGGGGCGCGGGTCGGCGAGGGAGATGGCGGAGCAGGGGACACTCTGGTCACGGCGTCGCTCTGGTCGCGATTCGGGCCTTGAAAGAAGAGAGAACACGATAGAGGCTGAGAGATTGGGAGTCTCCATTTGCAATCGCAGCTCGGGAGGGAGGGGCTGGGCGTCGCGATGCAAAGAAGGGAAGGGGAATTAGGGTTAGGGCTGAAGAGAGGGGGCGACGTCGTATTGTGGAAAATGAGGGGGTTGGTTGTGTCGGTTATCCGGTTAACTGGTGGTTATCATCGTCGGTTAGCCGGTTAATCGCCACAACCAATCCCCCTACCGAACACCGACCGCGAGACCCTTTTTCGGTTAATCGGTTAACTAGTAACCACCGGTTATCGGTTTAAGCGGTCGGTTAACCGGAAATCGATAACCGAACCTACAGCCCTAATGATTAGCATCCATACCATATATGCCATCTTGTCGGCGCTTAACAATCTTCCTCTTCATGGAGTTAACTTGTTTAGGTCAATTTGCAAAATCTGCATATCCTTCTCAAACAAAGTTACTTCTCGTTCCCTAAAGTTCAACTCATGTTCCCTTCTTCTAGATGGAACTTTCCTTGTCCTTTATTTGCCACTTCCTCCGTTCACGCTCGATCTTCTTACTTTCGTATATAACCCTACTAACATTCTTCTCCTCAAGAAGACCACCTCGATCCAATAATGCATCCCTTCGTTGATCACGCTCCTCAATAATTCTTCCATGGATTTCCCCTTGTTGCGGACCTTTTGCCTATCATTTCCTTCGGGTCTAGGCAACACTCCAATTGGAGTACCTTCTAATGTTGGAATTGATTCATCAAGGTCAAGAAATGAGCTCGACTCGCTAGCCATAGGTGGAACCAATGTAGTTAAATGCGTGTTTCTACGCAAAAGCGAAGACATTAGTAAAAACATAAAACATAAAAGCATGCCGTAAAAATGTGAGTTTTTGTGTGTAATCTGATTAATCTTCAACAAATTACGAGTCTCATTTAAAAAGGTCACTACTCATGCAGATAATTTATTTTGAAAAACTTATAATAGTGTAGCAAACGTACAACTAAACCAACAATGCAATAAGGAAATAATGAGGCTTCTCCATTCATAAATAAGTACAACCTATTAACAACTACAACTCATTATCGACCGTTTGTTTCAATCTAGATGTCAAATTAAACTGGATTACTAAGCATTCTTTTATTATGAGGTTCTTCATCCACTAAACTCGAAAAATCTGATTATTAGTAAATATTAATCACTTTAGTCATACATCAAACAACAAAGTAATCACTTAATGAATCTGTGGTGTAATATACTTGTCCCTCTTGAACATACCATATGTCATGTTTGCATCAAGATGACTTTATTATCTCAATATTTGGACGAGTTTTAAATTATGAACAAAAAATAAACCCTTGAAAAAATCATACAATTTCGCCCTTGATATTTTATTAAATTTCCATTTTGCATACATATTTTTTGTTAGTCGAGACAATCCGACATATATACCGGTCATACCATAACCGTGATCAGATCATTTTACTTGTAAAGTTAGTGTAGTATAAATCGGTTTGACAATGTTGATTTTCACCCATTCTCACGATCATCTCTGGGTGAACCTTTGGAGAAATTTTATAATACTATATAGTATTGGTGCTATAGGTTTTTGTTTTTATGGTATAAATTCAAAATATACATTTACGTTATGGTACAACTTCAGATTGTACCTATACTTTTGGTACAAATTCTTTTATGGTACAACTTGAACTTGTACCTTTTTGTGATGGTACAACTTCAAGTTGTAAAGTTGTACCATAACATAATGATACAAATTACTTTATGATACAACCTAAACTTATACATTTAATGTTATGGTACAACTTTAAGTTGTACATTAAAACACCAATGCTATATAGTATAGTAGAAGTGTTCCAACATTTGACCCTTACCCCTTTTGTATCTTATCGAGGTCCATGTCGCCGGCCAAAACACTCCAAACTCCAAAGGTAATCAATCCGCTTGGGCTGAGCGAGCGGATGGGGCCGGAAGGAGCGTGGCGTGCGCAGTTCCTTCTACCGTCCAATAAAAACCGCGTGTCAAGTCAAAGCCCAAGTCCAATTTGCCGAACATGTCAACAAGCCTTATTGAGGAACATAAAGTCAGATCAGGATTCATTCTTTCTTTTCCCAACATTCCAATATTTGGTTTCTCATTTCCTTTATTTTTTTCTCCATATATTCTCTAGAGTCGCCTTCGGGATCGAAGAGAAAAAACGGCCACCAGGTACAATTGTTTGATTTCCCGGCAATCGGTCGATTCCTCGTCTCCTTTTCTCTGGTCGATCTTCGCAATATCGCTACTTTGCCCAAAATCGTATATCGAATTTCTGAACCAGAACCGATTTGAGACGATCCCTTTACGATTTAGCTTCTTTGTTGAATTCTCCTTTTGGGATTTGATCTACGCTTTATATTGTTCTGGATTCCCTTATGTTCAGCTTTACAGTACCGATTTCTGTTTGATGAAATAGGATCATTAGGTTATTCTTCTGGATTTGTTCCATGAATTTTGAGGCTTTTCTTCTGAATCGTACATGCAATGATCTTTCTGTGTGGAAATGGTCATTATCGATGGTTCCGGGTCTCGTCTCACATCTTATCATATTCATTTTCTTATACTTCCAGATTATTCAGGCACAGCTGAAGGATGTTGGAGCAGTTGCTCATATTTACTAGAGGAGGATTGATCCTATGGACATGTAAAGAGCTTGGAAACGCTCTCAAGGGATCACCAATTGACACCCTCATCAGGTTCTGTCTCTTGGAGGAACGATCTGGCTCTAACTCGTATAACTATGATGCTCCGGGTGCTGCCTATACCCTCAAATGGACCTTCCACAACGAGCTTGGCCTTGTGTTTGTGGCTGTGTATCAGCGGATACTCCGGCTGCTCTATGTGGATGAACTGCTTTCCATGGTAAAGCGTGAATTCTGTGAGATATATGATCCCAAGCGGGTGGATTATAATGATTTCGACGAAACATTTAGGCAGCTGAGGAAAGAGGCAGAAGCCAGGACGGAGGATTTGAAGAAATCAAAGCAGGTGGGTAGGCCTGCCAATGATTCTAAGAAGCAAGGGCATGTGAAGAAGGGTGGGGCGGATGGCGGAAACAAGAAAAAAAGCGAGGCTACTGGTGGCAGTGATGATGATGATAATAGGGCAGGTTATAATAAGTTGGAGAATGGACACTCCAATGGCCATCATGTTGCAAGTGGTGGTTCTAGGAAATTAGCTGTTGGTAATGGTAAAGAAAATGATAGTGTCAATGTTGGAGCTTTTGATGTAAGTAAGCTCCAGAAGCTTAAGAACAAAGGAGGAAAGAAAAATGATACTGTTGTTAGTGACAGTAAGGGTTCCAAATTGGACACAAAGAAAAAAGCAACTAAAAAGAATAGGGTTTGGGATGATTCACCTTCACAGTCGAAATTGGACTTCACTGATCCTGTGGAAACTGGAAATGAGAATATAGATGTTGTGGCAGCTAACCAAGGAGAAAGCATGATGGACAAGGAAGAGGTTGTTAGCAGCGACAGTGAGGATGAAGAAGATGAAGTCGGCAAGGGGAGTGCACCTGACTCTAAGAAGAAGGGATGGTTTTCATCTATGTTCCAGAGGTAAGTTTGCTTCTTTCAATGGTTTTAAAGTAAACCATGTTTTTATTAGCGAATTGATAATTCAAGTATCATTACTCATTAGGAGGTGGGATGCAAACCTTTCTTATGCCCTATCACTAGACGATTTAGATATTACCCCCTCCCAATATCTTAAAAAATATTTTCCCCAGTAATCTCCACACAACTTCAGTCTACAATTTGGATACGAAAACAAAATTGAATCCTGATAATTGTTGCTAAGCATTTCTCCCATGCATTATGCTTGACGTGCTGCTGTCATTCTTTCAGCATCGCAGGAAAAGCAAATCTAGAGAAATCCGATCTGGAACCAGCTCTAAAAGCTCTCAAGGACAGGCTCATGACCAAGAATGTGGTACGTTACTTGACCTTGAAGAATTCTCTTTATTTATTGTATGTCCCCTCGTGGATGATTACTTGGAATACTATAGTCTGTTCTTATGGATTTCTACTCACTTGGTATCAAGGCGGAAGAGATAGCTGAGAAGCTTTGTGAATCAGTTGCTGCTAGCCTGGAAGGTAAAAAGCTTGCATCTTTCACAAGGATATCTTCAACTGTCCAGGTATGCTTCCTTGCAATATGTATACTTTATTTTCCTGATACATTGGTTCAAAAATCTTCAAGCTTATGTGGGAAGTTATGGTTTACAGGCAGCTATGGAAGATGCACTTGTTCGGATTCTGACTCCTAAGCGGTCTATTGACATACTGAGGGACGTACATGCTGCTAAGGAACAAAGGAAGCCTTACGTTGTTGTCTTTGTCGGTGTCAATGGGGTTGGAAAATCTACCAACCTAGCTAAGGTGTGGCTTGATAACACTACCTCGGCATATTTATCTTGTGAGGATTATACTCTATAATCAAGCAAAGCTGTTATGTGTAAATCTTGCAGGTTGCATATTGGCTTCTGCAGCATAATGTCAGTGTTATGATGGCTGCTTGTGATACATTTCGGTCTGGAGCTGTTGAGCAGCTGAGAACTCATGCACGCAGACTTCAGGTGGAGAATTGATTGTGCATTTCTTGTGTTATCATGGATGACTTGGTTTTTGTGCTAAGTAAACTCACTTCTTTCTTTCTAGATTCCTATATTTGAGAAGGGCTATGAAAAGGATCCTGCTATGGTGGCGAAGGAAGCAATTCAGGAGGCAACTCGCAATGGTTCGGATGTTGTTCTTGTGGACACAGCTGGGCGGATGCAGGTAACTAATTATATGCAGAAGTGTCCTCACATAGCTAGATTGCTAACTTGAGATTATAAATGAATATAGAAGGATTTTTGGGTTTGTCTGTGTTGTTGGCCAATGTGCTAGCTTTCAGTTAGCTCTTTGTTTCTTGTTCTACTCCGAGTGGAAATATATGGTTTGACCTTTTCTTCACAAATCCTATTGGTAAAAATACACTATGTGTGTATTGTTTTAGCTTTTGCTAGAACCAGGGTCATTTATTTTTCAAGTTTTAGTAGAAGTGTTGGTAAAAGTCAAGAAAGTGCTTTTGCTAAAATACACTGTTTTCTTTTAATCTGGACGAAACTCACCCTTGTGAGTGAGAGAGGCTTGTAGTAACATGGTTTGCACGCATTTTCAGGACAATGAACCTCTGATGAGGGCGCTATCAAAGCTTGTTAACCTCAACAATCCTGATCTTGTGCTCTTTGTTGGGGAGGCATTGGTTGGAAATGACGCAGTGGATCAACTGTCAAAGTTCAATCAGGTTCGGTTCTATGCAATATGCATCAGTTATGCAAATCCCTTTTCTTCCATCAGCAATTTGACTGACCAACTTTGCTTGCTCTTTTTCCAGAAACTGGCTGATCTGTCCACTTCCCCCAATCCGCGACTAATTGATGGGATCCTGCTTACTAAGTTTGACACCATCGACGATAAGGTCAGGAAACCTTCTCAATTTAGTTCCAATTAGCATCTCCAGTTGATCAAATAACCTAATTCTCAATCAAATACACACATCCAATCGATTACCCACCTTTGTCTTTTCTATATTTTCATTTTTTCGTAATTTCATCTACCCCTAAAATGTCTATGAATTATGAACCACCATCATTTTCACAATCATTTATTCTCCAACAGACAACCAACTGGTTAAATTCAATGGTGAAATAAATTTGAGTAACATCGGGTCTCTTATTGTTGAACGGCTTCTGTGTCTTACGAACTGAATCCTTGTAAACGCATTCTTGCTTTTTACCACCAGGTTGGAGCTGCGCTTTCCATGGTTTACATCTCTGGAGCACCGGTGATGTTTGTGGGTTGTGGGCAGTCTTACACAGACCTGAAGAAGTTGAACGTGAAAACCATTGTCAAGACCCTTCTGAAATGAGTCGCTAGTAGTAGTTTCTACTGGTGTTTCCTGTCCTTTTGCTTTTGGTGGTGGAATGATTTTCTTTGACGGGTTGCTTTCACTTTCGCCTTTGGGACTATGCCGTTATGAACTGAAAACTGCCAGATTTCTATATTCTCTTTGTAGCCTGCTGGTGTTAGGGATATTTGTTCTGTTGGAGGTGAATTGAAAATGTTCCCCTTTGTTGTGCTCTTCGTTGTTCCATTTGGGTTAAGCCTGTTTTTTTTTTTTTTTTTGGGTAGAAAGAGGGACGCTAGAGCGTCCTACTGAACATTACCAACGAAACGTGACTACACAATGCCCATAACATCATACAATGATCCATAGGGCAAGGCTCGGATCCTCATCGAACAGTACTAGAGTAGTCGGCCGCAAAGTTCCTTTCACTATGATTATGAACACTAGGATTAATACCCGCGGCTACGCCGCAGGAACTAAAGTGGAGCATCATAGTCATGCTGTGGCAAGTTCGGGTGACAACAACTGAGGGTCGTGTTACACACACTACTGTGGGTCTAAAAGTTTTGAAAGTGTGTAGATACTTTTTTACCTTAAGTTCCATAGTTAATCAACAGAGGAATATAGTACGTGTCACAACCGCAATGCGAGGTTATAGTTATAGAAATCCAATCCCGCTAGAAATTTTGTGTACCATCATTCTAATGGATAATGATTGAGTGATGAAATGATATATGCAACATGTCTAGGTAGAGACACTAACCATTTACGTCATATTTTCAGTGCTAACGCTTTCAAAGCACTGGACCTATATGCAAAATGAACAAAACCAATTATATTGTTCACCTGTCCGAGTTTGGTTGGTGTCAAAACCACTCAATCTGTCCATGATTGTGAAAAATGTGTTCCATCTTTTGGTAAGTTCTTCACATATAATGGCTTCAATTCCGAGTACAACAAATAGAACCCACTGATTCACCAGTAGCAGGAAAATAGCTACTTCAGCTAATTACTCTTTGTTTTGGAGAAAAAGATGATCTAATTACTCTGCTGAATAAGAGGTGATCAATCCAAATACGTACTAAAAATGACCCGTAGTTGGTAAGGATAAAGTCACTTATACATACTATCATTTCAATTACACAAATATGTAAAAATCACTTTCGTAATTAGCTTATTTGAGCTTCGCTCTTGCCTCAAAGAAGATGGAATTTAAGTAGCACTTGCACGATTATTTTTTATATTCTCTGTGGTGAGAATTTGCATCTTGCAGCTGGGATTTCTATTTGTCTGAAAGCAGCATACTCTTAGGCAATCCTCTCCATCTTTGCAGCTCCCAAAGAATAGGATAAGAGCTTAAGCAACATACTTGTTCATCATCTAAAATCCAGTACAATGTATCTCCCAATAGGATAAAGTTTGTTAGATACAATTTGTTGTTGTTTGTCGTAGTTAATCACTGTAGCCATTTGCGAACCCTAAAACAGATACCCAAGTCATTGATCCAAGCATACTGCAAGAAAACCTTGAAAACAAAATGCAAAGCAATTGACATTTTATAACGTTCTTCGAAGCATAGAATAGCATGCAACATTATTGTAGCAACTGCTAGCAGTCAACAACTGCAAGATTATAGCATAATAGTAGCAGCAATACAACAGTAGCAGCAGCACAGAAGGAAAGTGCAGAAGCACAAGTGGAATTTTGACAGCAAGAAAAAGAAAGTGCAACAGCAGAAGTAGAATTACAGCGGCAACAGTTAAACAAAAGGTCGGAAGAGAAGGATTTTAAGCACAAAGAAATTACCGGTAAATACGCGGTCCCCTTGCTTGTTGAAATGGAGTCTGAACCAAATCATCTACCAGACTTATTTAGAGAAGACAAACTCCAAACGCTTAAACCTTGTTCATATATGCCCTTCATGAAAAGGAAGTGAAAACCATATACGTGTGGTTGTGGGCCTGTGGCCATCAAAAATTATGTTTGAGACTCGTGGCATGTTAAAATTCTAAAAAAAGCATTATAAGACGCACGCAGTCCATTGAACTGGCTACGATGAGAAGATGAGCATTTGCTCACAAATATTATTGAACTTCTTTAGATCCCGAGCCTAAGATTGTAGAATGCAGGAAAGAAATTCTATGACAAACTTTGAAAAGGATAAGTAACAACGATCATCAAATCGTATCAAAGTCTTTGGGATAAGGTAATTAGATCATGCTGACTATGGAGTTTCAACAAAAACTGAACTGCCATAAACAAATGTGGGATGTAAAATTGCTCCAGTTGAGTCTTATATAACTCCTAGAACTCCATGCTTATTCAGAAAGTAAATTATAGTGGACCAATCGAGCATGAAGCACTGGTTTGAGCTGATGTCTATCCAATCGTAAGAGTGTATAAAATTAACAAAACTTCATAGGAACTAACACAAAAAATCATGAATCGCTGAAGAACCAACCTGTAACAACACCAAAGAGGCAAAGACAGATCGAGCGTCAATAGCACCTAAAAGGAAAAGCAAACCGACAAATGAGTGACCAAGGTAAATAAATACCCCAACAAATCCAAGGATGGAAGAACATTTAGAAATTTTAAACTTTCTTCCTGCTCTAGAGCTTCCAGTTTCAGTTCTGCAAATTCTGTCATGGATCTCTTCTCATTTGCTTAATTCTTTGGTCTGCTCTTCTTTTTTCTTAAATCTTCACCTTCTTCCTGCCATTCCTCAAGTGTTTAATCTCATAAGCTCCTTAATAACGAACCAACTAACAAATAAGGGTCAGTAATGAATTATAAAATAAGTTTTCACTTTCACAGAATTAACAAACTCATTCACATTATTCTTTATGCTCTTCTTAACAAATCGTTGTTGCTGCAACGACACCCTTCCAATCACCTTTCCTTGAATGTTCTCTTGTATATAATCCTGAATTGCTCCAGTAAATTTGATGGTCACTTGCAAATGCTCCGGAGCCTTTTTATTACTGCGGTTCTTTTCCTTCTCTTTTGGCTCAAGCTGAGTCTTGTACATCCCTTGTTGGTGATGAAATGATATACGATGTATATGATAAACCAATTAATAGGATAGCATAAAAGGGAAATAAATATGGGAAGGGGTTGAAATAAGTCTCCTTACTTTGACTCCTTCCTCTGAATTATGAGACTCTGATGGTGCAGCAGCAGTTGAGATATCCTGAGGAACACTGATGTCAGTGATTTGTCAAGTGGCCAAATCAAGCATGAACTCAGCTGGGTTCATGGCCATCTCTAGCGTGACCCTCAGTGAAGCAAAATAGTCCATGGAGTCTCTAGCTCTACCATAGTAAACCGGCTGACCATATGATATCAGGAGGATCTGTACAAAGGTGTGCTAAAGGAAACTTAAAAGCAAGCATATAATTACAGTGTCTTTCTAATTTACCTTTCGAAGCCTAGATCATTGATCAAAGTCTCAACTCTTGCATACTTCTGCCGCTTGTTAATGGTCTGGGAGCACTCAGGAATGCAACAAATACAATATCTCTTCCATTGTTAGTTGTGGAAGCAGCACATCATCTTGTATCCACAAACTCAACCCTGTCCCTTTTCCAGTTTCATGTATCAGCCCCATCAACGACCCAGGTATGGAAGAGGCATCCACGTGTAGTTTCTTTGAGGTGGAAAGCAGTGCATGAGAAAGCAGCAGAGACTGTTTTTGGCGGAATAGGTATTTTGCAGGAAAAGGGTAGAAAGTTGGGTTGCTTGAAGATTTGAGACATGAAATCGAGAATGGATAAACAAATGAATTCAATAGGAGGCGAAGAGGCAATCGAAAGGCTCCACCTAGAGAAGAGAAGTCTTCTGGTAATCTGGGGAAGTAAGGCGCCGGCTGTAAAAATCATGGTCGGTGGCGTGTAGGAGCAGCCGTGGAGACTGTAAAAGATCGCTAGATGGAGAAGCAATCTGGAGATGTTAGAGGACGTACATGGCAAAAGCGGTGGCTAGGGATTGCGGATTTGAGGGATAAGGCCGTGAAGTGACGGATGATATGGAAAGTATGGGCGCCTAGAATTGATGAGAATATGCAGCAGAGACGGGAAGATCATCTCGAGGCGAGGCCGGTAACAAATCTGGTGTTTGGGAAGCTCTTCAATCAGTGGCGTGTAGACAGAAGCGGAGTGGGTTATGAGTGGTCGACCGGCGATTCTGAAAAAGCAGCATGGTGAAGTGATGCGAGGACAAAAAGAACACTATTCCTTGCAGGTTCTGCGATAAGGGCGAACTGGAGCATGCGTACGGGAGGCGTGGTTGCTGATTTAACCAGGCAGCGGCGGAACTGGCTTCTTACCCGACGCAAGTGGAGCCTTCCCGGTCGCCGCGACCAGCTACCCTGCAGAGAACGAAAAACCACTTTTCCGCAAAGTGACAAATAGTGAAACAGTAGCAAAAGGTTGAGGGTAATAAAGCGTACCCACCTTTTTATCTTTTAAAGAATGAGAGATACAAACTCTCCAATCTTTTTCAAGAATATGTATAACTTATCGCATTCTTCCGTCCTCTTTTTCTATTCGGTTTCGTCCGAGGAAATTGTTTCATTTGCTGTTGCTCACAAGTTTACGGGTTACGGCTGTTACCCATCTTTTCGATAGAGTTTGCACTTCCCCTTTGTCGGTTTGCTGCTGCGGAGTAGTGCAGGACTGCAGGTTGCTTAGTCAAACAGCTAGGTGGGTATCAGTCTTTGAAGGCAAATGTGTTAATCCGAGGATCCAGTATATGGGAATATCCAGGGCCACAAAAGCACTCTGCGTTGTTCGGTTTCAATTTCCTGGCTGTGAAAACTATAGGGTTGTTCATTAGTTAAAAAAGTCTTTCTATAAGTCTTCCTGTGTTGGAAGCTCTGGTTATTACTCGATCGTACTCTTAACGTCTATATAAGCATTATGAGATAATTAGGATTTCTAATCCGATTGAAAAGGTGTTAGTACCATGGTAACATACTTCATTAAAAGTATTATAGTAACTAGTCTCACGTTTCCTTCCCAATTTCGTCCCTTTGATTTTTGTTTCATAGGAAAATTATAGTTTGGTACCTAAACTTAATAGATGTTAAGATTTAGTATCTATTTTTTTTTAAATCCTAAAAATATGATTATAAAATTACATAATAGTACCTAAAAATTTATGCCTTAAATTTTGATACCTAAAATTTACAAATAGATCCGAGCTAATGAGGTCTCTGGTATGCTTTATGAAATTTGTGGTCGGCTTTCCAAGATTTCTAGTATGCTTTAAGAAACTTGTGAGTTTGTTTTATGAGGTTTTTGGTATGTTTTAAGAAACTTGTTGTATGTTTTATGAGATTTCCGGTATGCTTTAATAAACGGTTGAACCACGATTATAGTATAAATATGGTAATGTCTATTTTTTACCCAAACATTTTTCAGGTTCTTTTATATTATCCAAACCTATCGAAATACTAAGAATTAACCAAATGTTAACTTTAGTTAGCAATTTTATTAGTAATATTGACTTGACAATATGATACTGACTTGGAAGAGACACATGAAGGTCAACATTCCAAAATTTTTGTATTTTAACTAAGAAAAGAGTTACAAAATTATTAACGATAAAGTAAAAGTGGCTAATATTTTGATGCATTACGAAGCTTTGGATAGTTAATAGCATTTTAATAGGTTTGGATAATATAAAAGAACCTGAAAAAGGTTTGGATAAAAAATAGATATTAGCCTATAAAATATCCTACCACTAACTTTTCCAATACAACCTTCGGTACAGTTATAATTCTTGATAAAGGCATATCAGAAATCTCATAAAAGCATACCATAAGTTGATTAAAGCATACCAGAAATTTCATAAAGCAGACCACAAGTTTCTTAAAAACAAACCGGAAACTTCATATACTTGGACCTATTTGTAAAATTTAAAAATTTTAGGTATCATAATGTAAGACATAAAAATTTGTGGTACTAAAATGTAATTTTTCATCTATATTTTTAGGAATTATATGCGAACAAAATAATTTTAGATACTTAATCTTAATATATATTATATTTTGGTACCAATTTCTAATTAGCCTATGAAACCCAAATAAAAGTGAAGGAATGGAGATGCTCTTATGAGTGACTAGTTACTATAATATCTTTGATGAATTATGTTAGGATGGTGCTAATACTAAAGTGTGTTAGCATACTATCCGTTCCTTGTGGTCTATGCTCAACTTACATACAAGTATAAATTGGATTTGCCTATATTTTCATCCCATGCCAAAACTGTTTTGTTACCGAAAATGTTATTGAAAAAATTAGTGGTAGAAAATTTTGTACTATAATCGTTGTTCAACGGTTTCATAATACTAAACCCGCTAGCCAACTTGACTTGCAGTAGGCAATTTCCGGCCGAACCATTACTACTGTTTGCAAACATGATTCTAATTATATCTAAAAAGATCTAAAATTCTATACACAGATGTGTGTAAAATATTATAAATATAAATCAATTTATAATTCTGAATTGAAAGTGTTTCTGTTTTTATTTTTTTCTTAAATAAACAAACAGGAGCTAAGCTAGTTTATTTTTTCCCCAAAGATATGTCAATAAGTGTAAGCAAAGAGAACCACATTGCAAGACCAACAACAATAACACACGATAGTTAATATGCAACCAACTATAAATGAAAGAGTCCTTTTTGTCACTATCTTTGCATCTCTAAAAATGCTCTAAAGAGCAAAAGACACGATATAGATGCAAAATTTACTTAAAGAAAACTTACTCCAAGATATATAGCCCGAAAGTGATTGAAGTTTATTAATCTTCAAACATATAAGGAAATTTATTTTGATTTCCCTGCAAATTAACCAACAAAAAGGAATTCACTACAACCCGAGAAATTTCAACCATGAGCGCTTAAAACTTGCTCTTGTGGTATAGATAGTCTTGGTGCATAATCATGGGTTATACACCTATTAATAACCAAATTTGGATTATTTATTTAGAAAATTCAAAATTCAGATATAAGGATGGAGAATTAAATGTCATTTTTGTTTTTTCTAGTTTTCTTAATCGGCTCATATCTTCTTCATTTTAACTCGGATTTTAATTTTTTTTTTGCACAGATGGAACGAGTTCATCGTGCTCTACAAAATGATATCTATTTTCAATATTTTTTGAGAAAAAAAAATTCTTGCCTCTCGGTACCAACTGCATACCATATGGTATTTCTTCATTTTTAATTTGTTTTTGAAAACGTTTGCACAGAAGGGACGAGTCCATCATGATCTATTGGATCTACAAATTTCTGGGTGAACAAATTACAGGACCAAAAAATACCACGCAATACCACCTTGGTACGGGGTGGTATCTTATGGTATACAATGTTAAAAGTCGTAAATGACAGTTAATACACTTCTACTATCATGTATTCAACCATCCTACAGTCTTGATTTGTTCATACCACCATGGTACGCTTTTCAAACCATAGGTATGCTCTAATTTCAATCCTAATCAATACCATATGGTATAGACTGGTATAAAATGGCTCAATTTTTTTGTTCGAAAAAATATATCAAAGGGGATATCATTTTGAAGAGCATATAATCTGATCTAACTGCGCAAAAATAATTAAATTTCTACTTAAAACAAGTGAAAAATCGACCATCAAAGATTAAGGAGGAGAAAATTAAAGGCTTACTCACCATAAGGTTACTGACCTGATCTATTCCCAGCGGCGTGGTATAATTCTGGGAAGTCAGATTATACAGAAAAAAAAATCAAATAAAACGAGTCCCTTAGTAGGGAGATTATGAGCTAATTGAAGCATATATAAACGTTGACTAAATAATTAAGACAAAATCAACTTTTTCAAAGGTGGATTTACTTACCTAAGCTAGTTTGCACTATTTGTATTTTATTTGTTTATCGTACACTATACTATTTATGCCTTCTTGATACAAGTAGGGGTGTACATGGGTCGGGTGGTTCGGGTTTAGACATTTTAATCACCCGATCCATGCACTACGGTTTGGGAAATATGAAACCCAAACCCACCCAAAAAAATCTAAACCCTACGGTTTGTTTCTAATTGGGTTGGGTCGGGTTGGCGATATTTTTAAGTAAAAACCCAACCCAACACAAAATATGTAATTATTCTACATCATAAAAATATTGTATAACTAATTAAAAATTTCAAACGAATAAACCGAGGTGAAAGGTATCAAAATTCACAAATATTGTTTGAAGTTTAGTAAAACTTGATTTACTTCAACTTATGTCTAGTTTTTTTCACGACATTTGTTGAAATAGGCTAAAAATGTTACAAATGAACGCATCCATAATATGATATTCTTTTAAACTTGTACAAAAGAAAAAAAAATTACGTGAATCATAACTATATTAAATATATGTCTAAACTTTAAGTCAAAGAATGCATTAGATTAGTGAGACTTAAAGAGGAAAACATGGCGAAATATCTTAATTTTCTCATAAGTATGACTATATACGACATAAATATTTTTTTGGATACGAACTCATACCAATAATTGGAACACGGGTTGGGTCGGGTTCTACGGGTTGTGTAATCCAAAATCCAAACCCAACCCAAAAGAGGCGGGTTGTACAAAAGAAAACCCTCACCCAACCCAAAATCTTCGATTTAGCGATAAATACGGGTGGGTTGGGTCGGGTTGGACGGGTGGGTCGGTTTGCGGGTGTGTTTGTTCACCCCTAGATACAAGTATCTTTCGGGGGAAAGCTCAGTCTTGTTTGGGCCGATCAGTCATCGAGCCCAAACTATAATCGAGTTTAGTTTATGGGCCAATGCTACTGTGCCGCGGTAAAAAATGCGGCACCGGTGTCGTCAAATTCTATTCGTCCACGTGGACATTAAAAAACTGATGTGGCATTATTTGAACTCGTACAAACTCGGTGGAAAACCCCTCGCGGCTCGCCTATCAACCGAGACAACCACCGAACCGGTTGTTTTATGGTTTATTCTCTCTCTCAATAATAAATATATATTTTACGATACTCCCACCGTGACTCCTATGGTCGTGATTGCGCCGACGCTGGCCGGCCTTGCCGCTGCTTCGTCGAGAACTGAGAGTCCGTCGGCCGATTCAGCATCGTCGGCGGAGGCTTCTAGTTCTATTGTTGTTTTCCCGTGTACTCGCTCTCCTCTGACTCCATCCACGGCGACTGCAGCGGCACCGGGTCCAGTCGACAACTCGGTTTTAGAGTGCTCGATCCATGGGACTGAAGCTCGATAATTTTGAGTGTGCTTGGGAATTCTTCTCGCCGTGGCAGTAGTGTATCCCTGTAGCCACTAGACTGTACGTCTGCCTAGTGTATATATGATAACTGAGAAGCAATTTAGTGTATGAACTATTTAGTTATTATTATTTGTTTACTTTTGTTTGTTTTATGAACGGTGATTAATAATGTGCATAGTTACTACATATTTCATTTAATATGTGTATCATGTGTTTAAAATCTTCCGTTTTTTACTTTTCGTACTATTTCCAAATCATTTAATTTTTCCAGTTAATTTGACATATTTCATAATAAACAGTTATAAAATTCATATAACATGTTTAATATTTACATTTAATGATTTAAATCGTTATTTTTTTAAAATAATTAATTTAATATATTTTATGACTATTAGACGTACCATTAGTTTAAAGACAAAGCAAAATGACCGTACGTATTTTATATTTAACTTATCCATAACGTATTTGACTAATTATGATAATTATATTATTTCTTTTTTTACTAGAGAAAAAGAAACAATTGCATTATTCATTGTTGTGGTTATTAATTAATTATATTACCAAGTAATTAATTTTGTGTCCTATTTGCCCTCTAAGTCTCGCTTTTTTTCGTGTAAAAGAAGGAAACTCGGTTTCATTAGGTTTTTCGCCCGACGTCTATCTCTATATAAGGCTTAGTTACAGACTACGGTCATATTGTAAGAAAGTCGTCACAATGTAGTCTTATAATAAAACGTCAGCTGTGGCCTGTGAGCTCTTTCGAACTCACAGTAGATTAGTCTCGTTCAATAAATACAAGGATAACACGTAAAATCTCTTGTTTCGGGTGTTCTTTCAATTCCGCTTTATCAAATTCTTAATTAATCAACCATTCATCAAACAAGCAAAGCAAGTTCGAACAATTGTGTGGAGGAAAAAATAATAATAACTAAATAGTTCATAGACTAAATTGCTTCTCATGTATACACTAATCAAGTAGACGTACAACGTTAGACTGCTGCCCTGGCGAGAAGAATCCCAAGCCAACTGAAAATTATCCTGCCTCAGTCCCATGGATCGAGCACCCTAAACCGGCCCGGTGGCACACCTGTGGCCGCTGGAGTTTCGTGGATGGAGGAATCGTTGGAGAGCCACGGGAAAACAATAGAAGCCTTCGCCGGCGTCGCTAAATCGGCCAGAGTCGGAACAGCCAACAAGACCCAGTTCTCGGCGAAGAAGCGGCAGGGCCCAGCGCCGGCGTAATCACGAGAATCGCGGTTGGAGTATCATAAAATATAATATTATTTTTACCTAGAAAGAGAAAATAAAAAAAGAAAGGCAAAATACACTTGTATAGCCAAAACTTTGACGGTTTGGCCAAATATAGCCACTTTTGGCGAAATACCAAAAATAGCCAATTCCGTCCAATTGTTTGACGGTGTTAACCAAATAGCTGACTGGACTAACGGAGAGGCTGAGTTGGCCACAATTATTCAATTAAAGTGTGAGGTGGAAAATAAAAATAAATTTTTTTTTTTATTTTTCCTCTCCCATCTCTTTTCCTTCCCCTTCCCAGCGTAATCTCTCCCATCTCTTTTCCTACCCAGAACAAGCCCATTAATCAATCTTCCATAACCCTTTATTATTGAGATCAATCAATCCATCCCTACCATCTTCTGTCGTCGATACCCCCAGCCCACCACCACCATTTTGAAACCCCACACCCTTCCGGCTGTTGCTTGGATTGTCGTCGCGCCGTAGCTCGTCCGCTATGACCCTGCCCCCAATCTCTCTTGGTCGAGTGAATTAGAGAAGAAGGATTCAGCCGCAACCGCCCTTCATCTCTCGATCTCGCCGCCGCCGCCTCCCTTCATCTCTCGATCTAGCCGCTGCCGCTTTTCACCTCTCGATATCGCTACCACCACCTCCCTTCATCTCTCGATCTCGCCGTCGTCGAATTGGAAGCGGTCGTCATCAATCATAGCTGGATCTGAGATGGAACACTTTGTTGTGTGAGTCTCGTCGTTTGCGTAGTTAGCGGTGTCGAGATCGTCAATCAGAAACCTATTTCCCCAAATTCTAGGGTTGAGGAGAAACCCAGACTCCCAGAGATGCCCGACCAGTCGACTGGAGCGATTGAAGGGATGGGCTGGAGCGACGATCAGATGGGTGGGTGCGGGGGATTCGGGGGAGAAGTTTGGTGAAGAAGTGCGGGGGAATCGGGGAATCGACAAAGGTTGGTTCGTGAAGAGGGAGAAGGCAACAGACAAAGAAGGCAGGGAGGAAAGAGAAGATAATTATTTTTTCTAAATGAAAAATAAATATAAGATATATTAGAAGTGAATTGTGACATGGCATCTGTGTGGCAATTAAGGCTGAGTTGTCGCTGACGTGGCAATGATTTGGCATTCTCGTCAGCATACCGTTAACCTAATAGTCATAATTTTGTAACATCGTTAAAGTTTTGGACGGAAATGGCTATTATTGTCATCAAACTTTCAAAATTCTGGCTATTATTGGTATTTCCCCAAAAGTGGCTATTATTGTCACAAACGTTAAAGTTTTGGCTATACAGATGGATTTTGCCAAAAAGAAATAAACAACTTCCCGGGTTCGGTGTTATCTCGGTTGGCTGGCTACGGATTTTCGGTTGGGTTTCTACAAACACAATTAATGCCACGTCAGCTTGCTACTGCCTACATGGTCCAATAGAATTTGGCGGCACCGGTGCCGCATTTTTATCAGCGGCACTGTAGCGTTGGCCTAGTTTATGACTATTCGTTATATCTTTTCGTATCTGGGCCCACTTTTCCAGTTTTTTTTTTTTTTTCCCGTTTCCGAGTCGGAAAAAGAATGCTACTCTGCTTGATGGAAAACCACCAGAGACGCGAACAAGGAATCCTTGTGTTGTTCGGATAAACTCCTAATCTATATATATACGTTTTTGCAGGACCCAGAACTCATTCTTCCCAAGTTCCCCAGAGCTATATAAATCTACGTACTCAGTCGCTCAAATAAAGCCAATCATCTCCCTTTCTCTCTTTGTTTCTTAGCTCTTGAAACAGAGAATCAAGATGGTGGTGGCCCTAACATCCGTTCCGTCGCCGTCGCCGTCGCCGTCGTCGGAGTTCGAGAAGAAGTTGGAGAGGAGCAAGAGGAAGTTGGAGAGAGGATACGCGGCGCATCAGGAGTCAAAGAAGCGGGCAAAGTTCATCGACTTTCAAGTGGCACCCATCAAGAGGAAGTACAAGGAGGAGGAGTTCCTTCTCCCAGCTGGACCCACCACCACCATGAAGCCACTAGAAGCAGCTGGGACCCACGGTCGAGAAGACATAACAGAGGCTGGGACGACAGCGCCGGTGCCGGAGGCTGCTCAGGCGAAAGCACCCTCGTCCTCGCCGGTCAAGAAACGGGAGCCGCCGCGGTGGTGGATCCGTCTGAAGAAGGAGCGAGACGAGGCCCGCATCCGCAGCTTGATACATTCGGAGATTCGGGAGCAGCAACAACGACGGCGACGTCAGTACCAGCTATAGTGGATGAGTTCCTTCCTATTTCAGATTTCCTAATTAGGTGTTGTGTAACCAGTTCGAGTAGATATTGTTCTCTTCTCTCCCCAATATTAGAAAGGATCTCGGGAGTCGGGACGAGAAATGATAGTTTTCTTATTCAGCCATTTCCAATCCTCGCCTTCAACTTGGTTTTCATTAGAGGATGGCTAATAGTGGTATGTAAATTGCAAGTTTGGACGGGAGATTATTAAAATATTTCATCTTTATTATTAAAAATAGGCAACATGCATTTACATAGCCGCAACTTAAGCGTTTGTGACAATAATAGTATTTTTATGAAAAATACATAAAATAATCAAAATTTTGGATGATTGTTTAACAATCTAGTTATTTTCGTTACAAACTATAACGATGTTAGAGATCTCGTCAATTAAATTAACGATATGCTAGTTAAGATGACAAATCAACGTACACATCAGCAACAACGCGACGCGCGTTTCACTTGACTGTCACTTTTGTTGTTGCTAAAGAAATTAATGGAGATGGATCAACCGAGAGGGAGATGCGTCGGTGGAGAGAGGGAGAGCGGGATGGAAATGAGCGGCGGCTGTGGAACAAAAGGGGAAACAAGAGTGGAGAGAAAAAAATAAAAAGGTTTAATTAATTATTATTATTTTCCAAATTAATTCCACCTCACTTTGTAATTGACAAAATGTCGCTAGGTCAGTTTTTTTTAGTCCAGACAACCCTGTTAGATGACACCGTTAAGGAATTGGACGAAAGTGACTTGTGTATTTTTCTAAAAGTGGTTATTATTGGCGAAAGTTGTGGCTATGTAAGTGTATTTTGCCTTAAAAATATTTATTTCATTTGTTGTCACGGGTGCGGATCCTGTGAATAGGAGGGTGCTTAGTCACTTGACTAAGCCCCTCACAGACCTTAGATCTGGACACATCAATCCAACGATTAAAAAATGGGAAGGGCTTTTTAATTACTGATAGGGGTAGTTTGGCTATTATGAAAAATTATGAAGCATACAAAACGGACTTACAAACAATACAAACCATACAAGCAATACAAACTAGAAGGACAAAACATACAAACAAATTTACAAACATTAGAAACATATGAATTGTATAAACAATACAAACTACACCGACAAACAATACAAACCATACAAAAAGAAAAAAACAACCGGGTTGACTTTGGAGGCACTATCCCTATATAGAGGGGCTACGTCCCAAAGTCAACCCGGTTGTTTTTTAGACATACAAACATTACAAACATGGTGGACAAAAATGACAAACTAGACCGACAAATGCATACAAACTGGAAAACACCCCGGTTGACTTTGGACGCTCCATCCCTATATAGAGGAGTTTCATCCAAAAGCCAACCATGTTGTTTTTTAGACATAAAAATTATTACAAACTTAGTTGACAAAAATGACAAACATCGTGCACAAAAATAACAAAGCTTACAAACATTACAAAAGAAACCGACAAACATTACAAAATAACAAAGCTTACAAACATTACAAAATAAACCGACAAATAGTACAAAGCATACTAACTGTACAAAATGTCACTAAAAATGACAAACAAGAATGATAAACAATACAAACCAAATCAATACAAACATTACAAAATAGATCAAGAAACATCACAAATCTAGGACTGTCGCCGAAAAATCCTTCTCCGTCGTCGCTGGTCTGATGAGCTTCACAATTGGATCTCCGAAACTAGATTCGAAAAGAGAATTGCTGGGAGAGAGTGCCGATCCGCGAGAGTGTTGAAGCGGCGATGGTGAAGAAGGAGGAGTGGTAAGGGAGGTGTAGAGTATTGTGGATGGAAAAAAGAAGGTGAAGCGATGAGGAAGAGAACAACGATGCTTGCCAGAATGGCACGAAGAGAGGCGGAGAGTTGCAACAATTGCAGCGACCCGAGAGGACCATGAGAGTGATACCCTAGAAAGCGATTTAAGCGGTAGCGGCGAGAAAAATTAAAGAAGAAGCAGTGGAAATAGAAGGAGACCTAGCAGGCGTCGATGTTACAGATCCCCATATGTTTACTAATAATCGGTGTCCATATTCGTGTACATATCCCAACATTTCATCTGAATCATAGAGGCTCAGTTCTGTCAATTTTTGTTCAAGGGATGGAGAAAAATATGCCCATAAGGTTTGTAGACGGTGGAGTTGGGTTGGGAATTGTGGTGGTAATGACATATTCGAGCGATTGTCACTCTCTGTATTCGAGAGAATCAATAGATTTCCAACCAATTTGCTGAGAATCAATTGATTCCTTTTCGGAGGTCATTCATCCTTCCCAAACGCATCATACAAATCTCTGTTGCACTGCGCTTTCCTAATGTGCGTGCTCCCCTCTTCTTCCTTACCATGTGCATTTCGAAATAACTCCGATGCGAAGAAAATTTCCCACCTTTCCTCGACTATTTTGCTGAGATCCAGTCATATCCCAATTGTGCCTCTAGCGAGGCCGACAACCACCAATTTCAATTGGAGTTTTGGCTTGTCACGATATCAGTTTGAAAAGGAGGGTAGCAAAGATGACGAGCACTCCGCCTCTGTGGTGGATGATGAGCTGAGATGCATAGGAAGAGTTTTCGGGCATGGGTTGGGGCAATATGACATGAGATTTTTATGACGTAGTAGGTCGAATTTTAATTTTTTAGGGTTAAATTTGGCTGAGAAGGTGATTCTGCTGGTCATGGCAACACAAATATGATATTGTTGACAAAGACTAAGAGAGACTATCATCCAGTGGTCGAATTTGGACTACTGAACTAATCATAGTACCCACCAATGAAATAAAATATTTTTAGTGGCAAACGTGAAATATTTTAGTAATTCAAGTAACCAAACTTGTAACTAACCCTTATTTATTAGTTGGAGATAACAGAAAGAATTAAACAATACCAAACATCCCCACATGCTGCCATTCACTCCTTACCTTGTAAAACTCTTGTTCGACGCCTATGTTCTTTCATCATAATCTTCTACCTCCAGCTTTCTAAACCTCACACCCACTAAAGCCATAAATGACACTCACCTCAAGTTTGGAAGGAGGACCACTGGAAAGAAAGAATGACATCACCGCATATCTAGCGGCAGGTCAGCGACGGTGGCAGAGAGATGGAGGCTGTTGTTCGATTCCTTTTTTTGCTAGTTTTCTTAACTCGTCCACATAAGCATCTTTCTCTCTAATGGAAAGGCTTTTATTTTTTCCCCTTTAATATTTAACAGATGATTTCTCTATCGTTTTAAGTCAAAAAAAAATTTCACAGATAAATCAGATTAATTATGCTCTTTAAAATGATATCCACTTTGATATATTTTTAGAACAAAAAAAATTAAGCCATTTTTTACCAGTCAATACCATATGGTAAGAAAGCGTACCATGATGGTATGAATATACCAAGTCTGTAAGAAGGTTGAATACATGATAGTAGGAGTATACTAACTGTCATTTACGACTTTCATCGTTGTTTACCACAAGTTACCACTCCCATACCAGAGTGGTAAAGTATGATAATTTTTGGTCCTGTATTTTTTTACCCATTTGTAGATCCAATAGTTCATGATGAAATTGTTCATTCTGAGCAAATATTTTCAAAAACGACTTAAAACGAAGAAGTTACCATATGGTATGGAGTTGGTAACGGGAGGTATGAAAAACAATTTCTCAAAAAATATTGAAAATTGATCTCATTTTGTAGAGCACAACGAATTCGTTCCATCTGTGCAAAAAAAAAAAAAAAAATCCAAGTTAGAACAAAGAAGATAAGAGCTGATTAAGAAAACTAGAAAAAATATTTTTAATTCACAACCCTTAAATCTGAATTTTCTGGGCCCACTTAGATCTAAAGGTCCAGATTCAGTTACCGACCATATCTTCAGTCCTAACAGAATGCGAAAATGTAGGATTTATGTGGTGTTTATTTTTTTAACTTTTTATTTTGTTTTAAGAGTAACAATTAAGTAATTTCCCGTTTTAAGTTAGGACAATACTAATAATGTTAGAGCGACGTTTTGCACTACATTTTTATTAATATTTTTTGTCAATAATAAATACAATTATTTGATTCGTGGAAGTTGGTTTTATTTTTGTTACTATGATAATTTTTAATTCTCTATTTCTTTTGTCTTGTTTCTTGACTCGATACTTTCTCAAAGTACACAGCTTACTAATGATAAATCGATCAAAGTTTTCTAGTGTTTCAGGCTCCTGATGGTCGAGGGGTTTCATTTCTTTTATGAGTAGTGGAAGCATGAGATAAAACGATAGAAGCATTCCATCTTAGCGATCGCGCCGAAAACCTAGACCAATTGCTTCTCCCTAAAGCTATACACTTGGATCGATTTACCATAATGCTTTTGTTTGTTGACCGCTTGCCACCTCATCTTGCCACCTCATTGATCTATATTGATCTCTTTTGTAACTACTAGCTTATAACCCGGCCCTTTGGCCGGAATGCTCATATTTGATTATTTGTATTTTTTGTTACTTTTAAGTCTATTAGCCCATTTAATCTTATTGATAATCATTCGATCGAGATGATACATAAAGAAATAATATATAGGTCGAACATTCAGAGAAATATCATAATCATTTAAGAATATAAAATATAAAAATGTATCATTGACCCTATTTTCATAATGTTAATTAAGTCCCTGTTAAAATGCTATTGGTTAGTTTTTTTTACAGTCAAGAAATATAGAGTACAAAAGCTCACTGAAATTCTCACACACCCCATAGATAGTTTGAAACTAAATCTTAAACCTCACAATCTTATATAAAGGGTTCAATGCTCTCCTTTTAGAAACAATATGTCACTAATCAAAAAGAAATGGAGAGTTGTTGATTCAAGTCATCTATATACTAAAAACTCAGCTAAGAGGGGACCATCACAACTTGAGAGCAAACGAAAAAAATCAGGGTTATCTCCAATATGCGAATAGACTCGATCAAAGTAATAAGGCGCAAAATTAGACACTCCTTATCTATTAGTTCCAGTAGGTTGAATAAAGAAGCGACCTATTTCAAACAATCAATCAATGATTCCTCGTTTTAAGATAGAAATAGGTTGTGACAGTTGCAAAAACCATAAACCTAAAGATCCAATAGCCACCACTCTCCGTTGTACAACCAAATTTCTATCTCAAGAGGCATATATTCAACCAAAAGTTCAATTTCTAATCCTCCTTCTACAACTTCAGTTATTGATGAACTCCATTCTATTCGCCATGAATTGATATCGGAGTTGAAATCTTCTACTCGCCCAGCTTAAAATCCCAACAATAAAACCGTAGTGCCAAGAGATATCTGAAGATTGATTTTCAATGACAGTCTTGTACTGGGAAGTGAAAGGCGCAAACTATTGCACAATGGATGAAATTTCGGAGGAAGTTAGAAAGAGAAAAGAACAAAGATAAAAAAACAAAAAATTTAAATTGAAAAATGCAAGGATACAACATGTAGTTACATAATTAGTTTCTTCCATGTTAGCCAATTACCCATTTACCTTTAGCAAAAATTAAGGAGAGAGCGGGAATTTAAAATTGAGAAAATTACATGAAACTCTACTATAAAAATAGAAGTATCAAGCTCGATAAAAATACATACGGTAGACTTAGTGAGCTTGCTAATTATGATGAAAAAGTCCTCTGAATTTCAGAGATTAACTTTGTCTATGTTTTGTATAAAAAAAGATACAATAAATTTGTTTAGTGTAACTGGTTGTAATTGTTAACTTTGTTTGAAGAGATCTGGGTTTGAATCTTGATATTGTTATTTTTATATGAAATAAATAATAAATGCGTAAAGACAAAAATGACCTTCCTACTTTGACTCTCATTACAGTAAATTTGAAATAGAGAAAAGTACACAAAGAACCGAATCCGAATTTTACATCGCCTAGCAGTTGTTGGCGGCCGGCCGGCGGCCCTTCCTCACGTGGTACGCTACCTCTGCCATTTTCGATACACTGCTGCTTGCTTACAGACAGAATTGGCTCGGCGAAACACTCTGAAACAACCGCTTGCTTCTCTCGCCTGTCAGGTTAATATGACTACTCGCATCTTCTCCATCCTTTGCTGGTAGATATTAGGGTTTTTCAATTGAAGAACCTTTATCTTAGAACTAAACCCATGTTCCTCTTTGTATTTCCTCGTTCGCCTTCATTCTCAATCTCTCCCGGGATTTACAAAATTTCCGGTCTAAGACTTCACTCTTCATTGGCTGACAAGCTCTACACTCACTTGCAAAACAACCCCACCAACCCGGAAAGAGCTTTGAATTTGGTCAAGCCTAAACTTGACGCTTCATGTATTAATGAAGTTTTGCAGAGGTGCTCCCAGAACGAATCTCAGCTGGGTCTTAGATTTTTTGTATGGGCTGGCTGTCAGTCAAATAATAGACACAGTTCTTACACGTACCACAGGGTTTGTCAGTTGTTGAAGGTCAGGGAAACCCCGCAAGTTGTGTTGGATTTAGTCGAGGCTTATAAGGAAGAGAAATGCGCTGTTAGTGTCAAGATGTTTAAAGTAGTTCTTCATTTGTGTAGAGAGGCTAAGCTAGCCAATGAGGCTCTTTCTGTGTTGAGGAAAATGTCTGTGTTTGATATTCGTCCGGACACCAATGCGTTTAATTTAGTTATTAGGTTGTTTTGTGAGAAGGGTGACTTGGTTATGGCTAACAAGTTGATGGGGGAGATGGGGTTGATTGACCTCTATCCTGACATGATCACTTATGTATCAATGATCAAAGGTTTTGTTGATATTGGTAGACTGGCAGAAGCTACTCGTTTGTTGAAGGTGATGAAGAGAACTGGTTGTGCACCTAATGTTGTGGTGTATTCAACTCTTCTTGACGGGGTTTGTAAACATGGCAGTATTGAGCAGGCTTTAGAGTTGTTGAGTGAAATGGAGAAAGGTGGGGATTGTAGCCCAAATGTGGTCACATATACCTCTTTGATTCAAGGTTTGTGTGAGAAGGGTAAGACAATGGATGCAGTTTTCATTTTTGATAAAATGGAAGACTCTGGTGTGGCTCCAAATAGGGTGACAGTTAGCACTTTGATCAATGGTTTTTGTGCAGACGATCTTTTGGAAGAGGCTTATAAGTTGATTGATAGAATTGTTGCGAGAGGTAGTGTATCTTATGGTGAGTGTTACAGCTCTCTTGTCGTGTGCCTATTGAGGACAAAGAAACCTGAGGAAGCAGAGAAAGTCTTCAGGAGCCTTTTAGCTAGTGGAGCTAAACCGGATAGTCTGGCATCCAGTCTTATAATTAGGGAGCTTTGCTCCAAGATAAGGGTGCTTGATGGGTTTTACTTGTATGAGGAAATTGAAAAAATGAGCTGTTCGGTTACCCTGGACGCTGATATCTACTCTATATTGCTGCTTGGGCTTTGTCAGCAAGGTCATATTGTGCAAGCTGCAAAACTTGCAAGGTCAATGCTTGGGAAAAATGTGCGGCCCCAATCTACTTATGTTGACGAAATAGTTAAGCATGTAAAGAAGTTTGATGATAAGGAACTGATTGGACTATTTGGCTTGTAGATTTGGATAAGAGCCAAGGTGATGCTGCATGCTTCTTCTCTATGTTGCAACTTATAAATTTTGTTTTGATTATTATAAGTTTGAGGTATCCTGTTTGGATGTTTCGAAATGTAAGGATTGGAAAGGCTTTATGAAAATTTCAACTATGCATGTTTGAAATGCTAAATCAATTAGGGGTTTGGTGTGGTAGATGAATTTGATATTCTTGTTGTGTCGGAAGTCTGTTCTTTTGCTTGACAGCTCTGTTATCAAGTAGCACAGAGTTGAAACCTTTTTCCTTATGATTTTCAACTTCACTCACATTTGACCCTTTTTGCTGTTGTCCCTTGATGATGACTTATCCGAATACCTGTGCTTTTGACCTTATGGTTACTGGTTTTTATCTTAATTTACTTCTTCTTTGTTACTTGGATATATGGTAGACATGGAACTTATAACATTTTCTGAAAGCTCTTTCGTACTCAAATCAGAACTTATAATGTTAGTATTTTGTAAAGGGCCATCTGGGTTTAGGCCGTTGGTTTCATACATTAATTTATCCACTGTATTTCTGTGTTTTCATTAGGTGGTGAACTCACCAAATACAGCAGCATAAGTAATGGATGCTGAACGGATACATTGTATTTCTGTCTTCCGATAGCATATAAGCAAGCTTTAGAGGTCAGAGTAAGCCTGTTTGCTTTCCAGTAGAAGAATGCACCACTCTGGTTCAGTATTGTGAGTTTCTTACTGATATGGCTCATCGATTTGAGTTTTTACCATGGAGTGTACACTTCAGCAGGACCTTTCGAAGCATACGAAAAGGAAATGTGACACTCTGCCTAGGAGTCATGCTCTGGTGAGACCTCAAAACATCGAAAACTTGCAACAACCTTTCGACTCATTGAGGAAGTTTTCTCTGGAGATTATGGAACTACTTCCTCATTCAATTGGATGTTGGTGGGTTTGCATTCCTTGGCCATGCTGATCTATTATCCAGCAGTATTAAAGAGCAGCTTGTATTGGTTTGATTCTTGGCAAAGTCTCACTGATCGATCAATTTCTTGTTTCATAACCCAATGAAGATTGGATTGATGTAATCATTGTTAATGAAAGGTAGAATGGGTTTTCTGATAGAATGCAGATTGTGTTTGATTCCAGATGAGTATCTTGCTAGACAGAAGCACTATTGGGGGTCTTTTTTAAAAAAACAGCTATTATCAAATTTGATGTCTTACAATTAACTGGATGGGAACAATATTTGTTCATTCATTCATTCATTCATTCATTCCTTCTCTTTCTTTATTATTCCCAGGAACGATTAATTTGGTCATTAATAATAGCGCTTCCAAAATAATCATAAATTTATAATCTCACAAGTACAGAAGGAAACAGAGAGTTATCTCAGTTCTGAATTAGTAGATTAGATGCACATAATAAAAGCGAAAGGTATAGCCTACAAGGAAGTTTAACAAATAACTGATTAAGTATGCAGTTACTACTGGGGCACATAATAGAGACACTAGCTGTAGATTTCCAGCTCGCTGCCACAGTGGCGTCGTTGTTGCTCCCGAATCTCGGAATGTACCAAATTCCGGATGCGAGCGTCGTCGCGCTCGTTCTTCAGGCGGGTCCACCACCGCGGCGGCTTCGGTTTGGCCTTCGTTTTCGCCACCACCCGTGTCGCCGTTGCAGTTGCTTCTTCAGCCAGGCTCGGGCTCGTCTTCGTCTTCTTGGTGGTGGGTCCGGGGGGCAAGTGAAAGTCAATGACCTTGGAGCGCTTCCTGTTCCTGGCCTCCTCATGCGCCGCGTATCCTTTCTCCAACTTCCTTTTGCTCATCTCCAACTTCCGCTCGTAGGTCGACGCCGCATCATCATCATCCTTCGCTGCTGCTGTCGGTGGCGGCTTTGAAACAACGACATCTTCCTTTGCTGTGTTGGGTGAGCGGCGAAGGTCGACAGTGATGGTAATGTTGTTTCTTGAAGGCGGATTAGGGTTCCGGACCGTCTTCTTCTTATTCTTCTTAGGGATTGTAGAGGCTTGCTGCTGCTGTAAAGCCTTGTCCAGGTTGTGGAGGATGTGGGTTTGGCGGGCGGAGAGCTCGTCGGGCCAATGTAGGGCGGCGATGGTGAGAGCGGAATCCAAGATCTCCAACACCTTCGATTTTGGCAGCGATGGAACATCCTCTGGCCCCACTGCCCACGGCGGCAAACTGAGAGGAGCCGCCATCATCTTGATCAAAGACACTAGAGAGAGAGAGAGAGAGAGAGAGAGAGAGAGAAGGAACTGAAATCGCTTTGATCAAGTGCTGAGCGTGGAGCGGTGGAGAAATTGTAGTAGAGTAGTGCGTAGTGTGAATTTTGGAAGCACTAGTAGTTGCCTATTTATGGGGAAAATGGAGATCGAATAGTGAGTGTACTGCCATTCCTTTTCCTACAGAGATTAGTAGCCTTCGGAGTTCGGACAGTTGGCTGCTTGCTGTTCAAGGCAAAGCAACACGAAGATTCCTTGGTCGTTCCTGCTTTCCGTCCAGTACTAGGAATCTCTTTTTTTTTCCTTTTCTTTTCCAACTCGGAAACGGAAACAAAAGCTAGACGTTAGAAGACGGGCGCCGGGAAGCCCAATATTAAAGGCCCATATACGGTAAGGTAAGTTGCTGCGGGGACACACTACTGGATTATACTCTGGCTGATAAGAAGTAGAGCTGCAAATGAGCCGAGTTTTACCCCAGTTTGATCTTGACTCGTTAGCAAATGAGCTGAGCTCGAGCCCGAGCCATTTATTAACGAGCCGAGTCGAGTTCGAGCTAGGCTTGTTTACTAAATTCTTATATCGTATTTAATACATTCATTTTGTATGTCGTGTATGGTACATGTGATTGATGTAGCGATAAAAATAATAATCAAATATTCAACATTAATCAATCTTATATTATAATTTTTAGGTGTCATATTGTTTAGTTAATAAATTTTAACTAGTTCAATTCATGTTATTTCATAGTATAGAAACAATTTTGTACATAATTTCTATATAAAATTAAAAATAAGGCATATTTTCTTACTTGTTCAACATGTTAAACTTCACATTATGTGAGATATATAATTTAACAATCCTATGAATTATGAAAGTCCAAATTTGATCGATTAGTCCATAAGTCAGTGATCAAGTTGGCCCTCAAACCACAATGTTGAAACATATCAGGAGCTCTAAATGAGCTCAACAAGCCACTGAGCCGAGCTAGCTCGCGAGCTTCACGAGCTAAACAAAGCTAGGCTCAAGCTTGGCTCTTCAGTAAACGAATCAAGTTTCGAACGAGTTTTTCCCGATTCGAGCCTCGAGTTGCTCGCAGGGGCGGAGCCAGGATTGGGCGATCGGGGGGGCCGGAGTTAGCTAGTACATTATCGTCGAAAGTAAACAAATGATAAGAAAATTATTAAGAAAATAATAATAATATTATTAATTAATAGTATAATAATAATAATATAAGACATTATTTTATATTAAAAATTCACTCAAATTAGAATCTAAAACAAATTTTCTAAATGCTATGTTTAACAAATTATTAAAAGTAAAATACTTATAAAACATACTATAAAAATTATAAGATTGCTCTTTGTCAAATAAAAAGTTACATAATTAATCATCTAACCAAGAGAATCATTAAGAATACAAATTTAAAAGTTGAGGAAATTAATTAAACTATATTTTAATTTTAAAGAAATTAAAATTGACCTATATATGATAATTATTAACTTATTAAATTGCTCTTTGGTCAAATTAAACTACTGTACATTAAACTTCCATGTTCTAAAATGTAAAAAAGGGAGGTGCACTGGGTTGGAACCCGGCCACTGAATGTAACAGGCGTGAATCCTTCCGCTGAGCCACCCAAACATTGATGTCACAATTTTGCACACAAATTTAGTTATATTATTAGGTGTATACGTAAATTTTCAAATTCCTATCGAACTTAACACGTGATTTCAAAATTCTCGGGGAGGCCGGGGCCACCCCGAAGAACAACATAGCTCCGCCCCTGGTTGCTCGCGAGTAGCTTGGCTCATTTGCAGCCCTAATCAGAAGATGGGCACCGGGAAGCCCAAATTTTAAAGGCCCAGCTCTGGAATTTTACCTCGATGACAGACCAGCCCAAATGAAATGCAGGCTGTTTGACGAATAGGAATTTTTTTTTCCAAAATACACATTTAATTAAAAACAATTCTCAAAATACATAATTTATAATTTTTTTCCAATCTACAATTGTTTGACATTCACCGCTAATGCAGTGAAGCCATTCCCCGCGCCTAACAAAAGCAGTGAAATTATCATTGCTTTATCCCCGCCTGAGAAAACAACATTGAATGATTTCCCGCCTTTGTCAACAACAGTCAGATAATCACCGTCTTAATAGAAAATGGGGAACACTTCATGGCGGTGAACAATTGCCACGTTTCCCACCCCTGGTAGGTGAATAATTATGTCACAACCACCTGACCTTCACCACCTTAGGGCAACGCGGTGAATGCCTTCACCGCTTTGGACAACGGCAGTGAGTGCACCATGTTTATCAAATAAATACCCCTAACATGTAGTTGTTGGAAAAATACTTTCCCCCACTTCTGCGTAGCCTCTCCCTCATTTCTGTCAAATTTAAGTAAAAATCCCCTTTTCAGCTTGCTTCCAGCAACTACGGTTACAGAAACTCCAATATTTTGGTATGATATAATTTTGTATTGTTTAGATTTTGATGTTTTAGTAGTTATATGTATGTATTTAATGAATTACTGTAAATGGCAAATATAAGTAGTTAGCGATATTTAGATTAATTATGGTATGATTGATGTTAGTTAATTATGAATTTAGATCAATTTGTTTACTATACACATATTATTGTAGTGCTAATTATGGTTCATGTTTTGATTAGCTAGTTGCATTTGTTTATGAGTTTGGATGATATTTTTTTCATAGCCTTAAAAATATGGTTTTGGTTAATATTTCTGTAGCCCTAATAGTTACTTATTATAAATTGCAGATATGAGTAAATTCAAGAAGTTCCAGCTTCTTAGTCGATGGAATGGTCGGGTGACAAACTCTGATATTGGGATCAATTATGAAGACGGTGAATCAACTATGTTGAAAATTGAGTCGAGATTCACGTGGCAAGAACTTCGTGACATTTGTGCATACAAGATTTGTATGGGCGGACAGACGAGAGTTGGTAAAGTTACCTACCGGTATCTAGACATGAGTTCTAGTGGGGTTATGTACGAAGCCTTTATCATAAACGATGATGACGCGGTTACCATGTTATTACAGTTCCTAGGCGACAATGGAATGCAGCTTGCAGAGGTGTATGTTAAGACCCAGACGGTCGGTAAAATTCATTCTCACCAGTATTCTTATGATGATGGTTTTGCAGGAGGGTACGGATGGGTGGTAGTTCAAGCAACTACGGAGGAGGTAGTTCAGCAGGAGGGGTGCCATGGGAAGAATACCCGCAACTTGCTGAACCTGCCATGTTTGTTGAGCCAGACGACGTTCAATGGCCTGCTTGGGGTCCAGAATGGGCTGACATTGAGAACACCATTCGATCTGGGCGTACTTTGCGGGAGCTAGAATTCGATGTTGGTGATGGTGATCACAATGATTCTCCTGGATCGAGCTATCCATTCGACTCTAGCGACGACGAAAGTGAGGAAGGTTTGAGATCAGTGAGCGAGAAGGAAGATACTAATGATACGGACGACGAGGTGGCATTTTGTGAGCCACCAACGCCATATTACACAGAGGTTCCATCTCAATTTTTATATAGTCAAAATGATACCCTCGACTTTGTCCCTATGCCAGTGTATAATCCGACGACAAATTTGGAGGTGGGTATGGCGTTCCCATCGAAAGACGCTGTATAATATGCTTTAAGCGAAAAAGCCATGCGACGCACTTTTGAGTGGTAGGTAAAATATTCTGACGGGAAACAACTACATGTCATATGCAAGAATGCTGAAGAGGGCTATATGTGGCAACTGCGTGCTGCAAATATGAAGAGAACGAGTGTCTGGGTCATTCAAAAAGTAGAGAACAACCACAACTGCTCCTTGTCCATACTTTCCCAGGATCACCGCCAACTTAAAGCAAAGAAAGTGGGGAGAACCATTAAACACTTGATTGAGGCATAACCAGATATCAAGATCAAAGCTATCATGGCCGATGTGAAGGATCGACATTCCCACACGATCAAGTACAAGAAGGCATGGCTCGGAATGCAGAAGGCCATTCCTGAGGTGTATTGTGATTGGGACGACTCGTATGCTTTACTCCCTAGACTAATGGCCGCAATGGAGGAGTCCAACCCTGAGACTATTTTTGTGCCATGTTACAACAATGTACAAACTGAAGATCAAGTTCGAGTACAAAATGTGTTGATGTTTCACCGTCTATTTTGGGCATTCAAGCCATGCACTAACGGGTTTGCCTTCTGCATTCCAGTGATCCAGGTATATTACTGACTAATTATTGTTGTAAAACTTCATTTTTTTAACTAAGTACTATTTATACTTATTAAATCTAATTTTTAAACAGGTTGATGAAATTTTCCTTATTGGGAAGTACAAAGGAACTCTTTTCATTGCAACTGGCTTTGATGGAAATATGCGGATTTCCCCCTGGCATTTGCATTAGTGGAAGGGGAGAATAGCTTAAGTTGGGCATGGTTCTTTAACCAGCTATACAACCACGTCACACAGCGGCTGAGCATTAAGATTACATCCAATGACATGCCGGGACTAAGAACGTTGTGGGTGGTTCTCCCGACGAATGGGGATGGACATGGCGCTAGTGTATTCGAAACTTTCTTACCAATTTCCAGCACAAATTTGGGAAGAAGAAAGACATAAAAGATCTATTGTGGGATCTAGGTACTATTACTAATGTCTTTTTGTGCGAGTTAATTACTCATTGTTCAGATGAAATTTCTCATGTATTGACCAGTAATTTTCTCTCCTTGAAGCGGTTGCCCATCAACCAAAAAAATACAAGCAAATGATGAAGACGATCCGCCAGATACACCGGGCGGGGGTATGGGCTGAAGGTCAAGATTTGCACATGTGGACATTCCATATGGACAACGGGGCCAGATTCAACATTTCAACTACCAACCATGGTGAAAGTATAAATGGACTGTCCAAGGGCCTTAGGACGATGCCTGTTTTTGTCATAGTGGAGATGTCATACTGGAAGGTCAATGAGTGGTTTGTGCAGAGACTTCAAGAAGCTATAGGGAGGGAGCATGCTCGACATGAGATAGCATGTCACGTCTTTGATCAAATGCAGAAGAACGAAGAAAAACCAAGTAAGCATAGAGTTGTTCTTTACAACCGCAATGCAGGGATTTTAGCTGTCGAAACAGGTATATGGG